TCCTCCTTGCTACCTCCTTGGTGACCGCAGTCAGGATCCCACCTGCTACGACACCTCTCCTGACGACCGCAACTTCAACAACCTCGCTTGCATCGTCCCCCGCAACGGGACATTCCCCGCTCCTTCCGCACCACCGATATCCCGACGTTCTCCGGCCTCCCCCACGAGGACGTCCTCCTTTTCCTCTCTCAAATCCAAAATGCTTTCGACCTCCACAACATGCCCCTCGCTCATTGGCTCCCCACCGCAACCTCCCGCCTCCAAGGTGCCGCCGCTCAATGGTGGTTAACCGAAGCCAACAACCGTCGAGCCAACGACCTTCCCCGCATCACCTTCCTTCAATGGGCCGACCTTCTCATCGCCACCTTCCGTCCGCAAAAGACCATCGATGACTACATCGATCAATTTTGCAACCTCTGCCAAACCGGCCCCACCAAGCGATTCATCCATTACGTTCGCTCCCTCCGCCTCCACATCCCGCCGACTCTCATATCCGACTACGTCTTCATCTCCCGCATCAAGCGGGTATGCTTCCCCCACCTCGCCGCAACCCTCGCCCATGAGCCCGAGATCCCTGTCACCGATCTCCTTACCCGCCTTCTCCACCATGATCGCCTTCCTCACCTCCGCTCTCAACGACCAGTCGCCCCCAACCGCACCCGGTTTTTCCACAATATGGCCTCCGACGACTCGTCACTCCCCTCCGACGACAACTTTGACTCCTCTCCCGAGTCCCTTGACCCAGCCCAATTCACCGAGGAAGACTTCCAGGTTGTCCATCTCATGAGGATGGAACGGCAACGCCTGGCCTCCCAGCCTTCCTCCTCCCCCCAACCCCCTCGTCTCAAAAAGCTCACCCCCGCCGAACGCGCCTTCCTCCAGGCCAACAGCGGTTGTTTCCGTTGCCGCCAGCTGGGGCATCAGCAAACCAATTGGCCCAAGGCCGGCCGCTCCACCCACCAGCCTTCCCGCCCCACCGGATCCAACCCTCCCACATCCACTTCCTCCTCCTCCACCGCGGCCTTTGGACCCTCCTCCACTTGAACATTGTCCCCCGCCCCTTGTAGCCATGTCCTGGCATCAACAATTCGTCTGCCGGCGACGACTCTCACACCGGACACCCCCTAGGCGTCGCAGTCTACTCCGCCTGCCCTCCTCCCGACGACGTCCTCTATTCCGTCGGCTAAGCACCCCACGGCCACATGTTCCACTACCCTCCTCCCCAACCCCTCCACCATCACTTTCTCAGATCTCGTTGAGGAACAAGACCGACACACTCGGCTTGTTAGATTAGGCCTCAAGCAGCGTAGCCTCAACGCCATGATCTCCTCCGCTTGTGCCGGGACCGCCCAGTTCCAGCTCAAGTTCGTCGTCGTCTCCTTTGGAGCATCGACGGTGAAGTTCCGGGCCCTTCTCGACATTGGTGCCACCGGCAACTTCATCATGAATGCCTGTGTCCGCAAAGCCGGCCTTTCTTCCACCGGCTATGATTCCCCGATCACCATCCGCCTAGGGGATAAGGACTCAGCCATCGTCGTCGATCGCACAGTCCCCGAGATCACAATGATTGTCGGCCCTCTTCGCAATCAGGTCTCCTTTGATGTCATGCACCTCATGTGCGACATCGTACTCGGGACTCCTTGGCTCGACCGCTACATGCCCTATACCTTCCACCCCTCTTTCGTCCTCCTTTCCACCCCTCCCGATCCACCCCTTGACATCCCCTACTTTCTCCCTCCCTCCACCCCTTTCCCCGTCTCTCCTCACCAATTTCTTCACATGACCCGTGAACACCCCGACTCCGCCTACTATTGCCCTGTCATTGACCTCGACCGTCCTGAGGACTTGCTTCCAACGGACAAACCCGACCAAGACCCCCCCTCCGACCCTCAGATCTCCGCCCTCCTATCCAAATTTAAAGACGTGTTTCCCGAATCCTTGCCCGCCGGACTACCTCCTGACCGAGGTGTTTCCCACACCATTGATCTCAAGCCCGGCCACTCCCCCCCTTGCCGCACCCCATACCAGCTCTCCGTCCCCGAGGCCGAAGAAATGAAGCGCCAGCTTAATGAACTCCTTGAAAAAGGATTCATTAAGCCTAGCTCCTCCCCCTTCGGTACCAGTTGTCTCTTCGTCAAGAAGAACGGCACCTCGGAACTCCGCATGTGCACGGACTACCGCGCCTTGAACCGGATCACGATCAAGAACAAGTATCCGCTTCCCCGGATATCCGAACTTCTTGACCGCCTCCGTGGAGCCAAATACTTCACCAAGATCGACCTCTGCAGTGGCTTCCACCAGATCCGCATCCGCGAGGAGGACACCCACAAAACCGCCTTCCGCTCTCGCTTCGGGCACTACGAGTTTCTCGTAATGCCTTTCGGTCTCACCAACGCCCCCGCCACATTCCAATCCACCATGAACCACATCTTCCGCGACCTCCTCGAAGTCTGTGTCATGATCTACCTCGACGACATCCTTGTTTTTAGCCCCACCTTCGAGTCCCACCTTGATCGTCTCCGCGCCATTCTCCGCGACCAGAAATTCTACGCCAAGCTCAGCAAATGCACATTTGCTGCCTCTAGCATAGAATACCTTGGTCACATTGTCCCCACCGACGGCATCCGCATGGACCCCAAAAAGGTCTTTGCCCTCGTCGAGTTCCCCCCTCCCACCACTTTAACCCAACTTCGCTCCTTCACGGGACTCGCCAACTACTACCGCCCCTTCATACGCAACTTTTTCGACGTTTCCTATCCTCTCCATGAGCTCACCCGTGCCACCGAACCCTTCGCTTGGACAGACCGCCGCCAAGCCGCCTTCGACAACCTCAAGGAGCTCATCACCACTGCCCCTGTCCTCAAAATCGCCGACCCCACTCGCCACTTCTTCGTCACCACGGATGGCTCCGACTTTGCCATCGGGGCCGTCTTATCCCAGCACTTTCCCCCCGACCCCATGGAAACCCCCTCCATCAAGGACTCCCCCACTCACTCCTAATGCCCACCCGGCGAGCATCCCATCGCATTCGCCAGCAAGAAACTCCTTCCCGCAGAAATGAACTACCCATCCAACGAGAAGGAGCTCCGCGTCGTGGTCTACGCCCTCAAAGTCTGGCGCCCGTACCTAGACGGGCAATATTTCACCATCTGCACCGATAACACCGTTGTTTCCTCTATTCTTACCAAGAAAGGCATCACCCCTCGCCAAGCCCGCTGGCTCGACTTCCTTGCCCAATTTACCTTCACCATTTGCCTCACCCCCGGCAAAAGCAACCGTGTTGCCGATGCCCTTTCCCGCCGCCCCAACCACAAGCCCCTTGAGAAAGTCTACGCCACCATGACCCACATCCAGCCCCTGCCATCGCTCCACCATCGCTACACCCAATGATACCTCTCTTGCCCCGACTTCTCCACCATCTACAACGAACTCCGTGACCTCGACCCCGTCTCCGGCTATGCCCTCCACGACAACCTTCTCTATATTGAAACCAAAGGCTCCCGCCGACTCTGCATCCCTGACGCCCGTGGCCTCCAAACCCAGCTCTTGGCCGAGCACCACGACGCCAAGACCACTGGCCACCTTGGTTTCCAGAAAACCTTTGATACCATCTTCCGTTATTTCCATTGGCCTTCCCTCCTTGCTGATGTCAAAGCCTACATCCGCTCGTGCCCCACGTGTCAGGCCTTCAACCCCTCGAACCGGGCTAAGCCCAGCATGCTTCAATCATTGCCCATCCCCACCCACCGTTGGCAGTCCGTCTCCATGGACTTCGTGTGCGGTCTTCCCAAGACCGACCGCGGGCATGACTGCATCTACGTCATTGATTGCCGCCTGACCAAACGTGCTCACTTCATCCCATGTACCACCTCGCACAACGCCAAAGACATTGCCATTCTCTTCTTCGACCATGTCGCCAGACACCACGGCCTCCCCGAGAATATCATCAGTGATCGTCMCCCCCGCTTTCTCTCCTAATTCTGGAAACAACTCTTCAAATACGGAACCACGCTCAAGTACAACACTGCATTCCATCCACAAGACGGACAGACCGAGAAGATGAACGATACTCTCCAAAGAATCTTGCGGAAGTATTGTCATCCCCACCAGCACGATTGGGATCAGCTGCTCACTGCCGCCGAGATTGCCTACAACAACGCCGTTTGCCCTTCCACTGGCATGTCCCCCTTCTACCTTGACCTTGGCTATCACCCACGCTTGCCTTCTGACTTCTTGCTCCCCTCGCAACTCAACCCATCCTCCCCCTATCCCTCTCTCAATGAATGGGTTGCAACAATGAACCGTCTCCTAAGAGGAGCAACCGAGTCAATCAAGCACACCCAGGAACAACGAGCTAAACAAGCCAACAAGCATCGTCGTGATATCACCTTCCAAGTAGGGGACAAAGTCTGGCTCTCCGCCAAACGCTTTGAACCCGAACAGGGCTTGTCCAAGAGACTCTCGAACAAGTGGCTCGGTCCCTTCCCCATCATTGAACAAACCTCTCCCGTGAACTACAAACTCCAACTACCCCCTGACATGAGCCGTGTACACCCAGTCGTCCACGTAGAATATATCAAGGAATACCACGAATCCCCGCCTCAGTTCGCTGATCGCCCATATCCTCGACCTCCACCTATCATGCTTCCCACTGGACCAGAATTCATAGTCGAATCAATCATAGGAAGAAGAACAACCCAAGTCGCAGACCATCCGGAACCAATCACCGAATACAAAGTCAAATGGACCGGATACCCTGACGAAGAATCAACATGGGAACCCCTTGAAAATCTCAAGAATGCCATGAGACTTGTCTGCGCCTATGATCGTTCCCACCCTGCATCCTAGCTACCCCCCCTGCCCATACCCTGACTAAACCCTGAACCCTTGCTTAAACCCTGCTACAACCTTGCCACCTTGCTCTACACACACCCCCGCCACAGCCACCCTTGCCCTTGACCCACTTTTCTTATGTTTGATCTGCCCTTGTTCCTCGCCTAGCCTTGCCCCATTCGTCCTCTCCACTTCCTTGTCCATCTTGTCCAATGGTGGTGGACCTGCGTGACGAATGGCAATAAAGGATCTAATGGCATGAGCACGAGGGCGATGGCTTGCTGCATCACTGTTCATGGAGATTATGCAGTTGGATTGGCCACCATGCTGCTACAACGACCGGCACCCTGCCTCGCAGACTCCCTGGAGCAGCTACTTGTCACATGAACCATGTACCAGTCTGCGACTCCCTTGCTACCGGATCAGACTCCATTGCCAATCATGTACCGGACGCACCTGAGCACTTCGACTTTGGCCTGTTGGACTACCTCTACGACTACCTCCTGTCGCAGCCGATGAAGACCGCCTTGCTGCCTACTTTGGGACCTGCTCAAGACCTCCGAAGACCCCTTTCCTTCTGCTGATCAAGACACTTGAAGACCCCCCCAGACCCCTTGACCCATTACAGACCTCAAACTACCCAGACCCCTTGACCCATTACAGACCTCAAACTATGTACCCAGATCCCATCAGACACCCCAACCCTTGTACATGTGAAATTGCCCTCGAACCTGCAACATAAAATTCTTTTATTTGATTTTTCATCCCCTGACAACCCATAACCTTGTAGAATTTCAATAGAAATACCACATTCACCCTTGTAGAACATCTAATAGGAATACCCTGTTACCAGTTTCCCATTGTCAAACATCAGTAGGAATACCCTATCCCCTGTTCACCCTTGTAGGAATACCCTATCCCCTGTTCAACCTTGTTGTAGAACATCAGTAGGATATCCTGTTACCTGCTCCCCCTTGTAGAATATCAATAGGACTATCCTGTTTCCCTGCAATACCCTTAGCCCACCAGTAGGATAGCCCTATTCACAACCCACCAACACGACACCCTTTGCCTTATCACCTACATTATACCCCTCTTCCTCCTTCGACTTGTTGACCAGTGATCGGCCCCGTCCCGTCCTTCACAGCTTTCAGCATGGCTTCATGACTTTTGGCAGCTGGGACATTGCTATCTAGAGGGAGGGGATAGTGTTACGAACTCCGCCAGGGCTCGATCCCTGGTCCATCTTTTTGCTGCTTTTGCTGCTTCCCGTTTTCGGCCTGGCACCCTTTTTCCAAACCCCTCCTTTAGTACCATCGGATTTTGGACAACTGGCGCCATGCTGCAATTCGGGCGCCACTTTCAAATACCGCACTTTTCAGTTCTGCCCTCGGGGCTTTTGCAGATCTGCCCCCGGTACTATACCGGACACCCGGTACTTATACCGGTGCCCCGTACAGTACGGGGACCAGTCCCGTACCAGTTTCCAGCTGCTGTACTCGTACCCAGTGGGACTTGCTCCTGTTTTCGACATTGGGAATCCAAGACTTCGACTTTGTGTCCTTGCCACTGTGTCGACGTCCGACCCTCAGTTGTGTCGAGTGAGCGAGTGTGTGTGTGTGCTCTCACTCTCTCTCTCTCTCCCCCTCTCCTCTCCCTCGGCTCTCCCTATCTCCCTCAGTCTCGCCTTCGTTACAAACTGAGCCCCAGGGGTATCCACTCGAGTTAGGTCAGTCAAGGGGGAGGCTATAGCACTGTAATTCTCTACAAATGGTCTACAGTAGCCTGTCATCAGTGGGAACTCCACCCCCCGAAGGCTGCTTGTATCACCTCCTGGGGATAGGACCAACACGATGTTTTGAAAAAAAAAAAAAAGAAGAAGGTAGGTTGTCATACCCAAGAAAGAAGATCTAACTTCAGTTTCGTTCCAAGGGTGTGGCCAGTCCCTAATGGCTGCCACATACCCAAGAAAGAAGATCTAACTTTGGTTTTGTTCCAAGGGTGTGGCCAGTCCCTAATGGCTGCCACTTTTGTACCCGCTAGCCTCACCCCTTCCGCAGAGACCTCATGACCCAAGTATAAGACCTTAGTGTGTTCAAAGACTTGTTCCTCTGTTGTACATGCTCCTCCAAAGTCTTACTAAAGTATATCATTGAGATAGACGACAATAAACTTATCTAAGTAGTCAACGAAAACCCTGTTCATAGCGTGCTGGAATGTACCAGGCGCACTACAGAGCCCAAATGGCATCACCACAAACTCGTACAAACCATTCCTTGTCTGGAATGCAGTTTTGTGCTGATCCTCGGGTCTTATTTGTAGCTGGTGGTACCTGGACTTCAGATCTATCTTACTGAAGTACTTACATCCATGCATTCTGCCCAAAAGGACATCGATGCGAGGTAGGGGCTCGGCGTTTCGTGCAACGGTGGCCCTAAGGCCCCTATAGTCAATGCACATCCTCAATGTCCCTCCCTTCTTAAGTACAAATAGAACAGGAGACCCATAAGGCGAGGTGCTGGGCCTAATCCAACCTTTGTCTGTCAGTTAAGTTCCTCTAGTTCTGCAGGGTACGTCCTATAGACCTTGCCCTTTGGGATTTTGCTATCTGGGCTGCCTTACCAACCGGGGCACCCAGATCACCTTCGTTGCCCAGGCGGCTCGGCTGGGCAAGGGCCATGGAAGGTCCCTAAAACAAAAAGAAACAAAAAAACAAACATTCTGGAAAAAAAAACTATGTTGTGCAGCAAAAGAAAACTGAACCAACTTTTGCCTCACGGGCACATCGAAATTTGTCACGAAATTAAAAATAGAAAGTAAATTTGTTTTTAACTTTTTCAGTCTTTTTGTATTTGTTTTCATTTTTTTTAACCACCACTACCTGCAGCACGCCTGTCACCGAAAAGGCTCCACGAAGTCTAGAGGCCTGTAACGCACCGACCTCGCCGATGGATTTTATCGACGGCGGGCCCAGCCTCTTGACACTTCAGGTAGTAGGCTACTCTACTTGAAATTCGGAGGCCTGCAGGTAGTGGTGGTTTAATTCATTTTTGGCCCGGCCAGGCAAATGGTCCCATGCCACTCTCACACTGGTAACGTAGTACATGGGAACATTTCTACAGCACGAGCTGTCTCTCTCTCTACCCCCAAGTAGGTTTCTCAACCATCTTTGGACAATCTTGAATGATCCTGTCTATCTCCCATCCAGTTTCTCCTGACCCTTTGGAGACACAAATACTAGGTAAATACTGTGGTGTTGTGTGTGTGTAGTGTGAGCTCAAGGACGCTACAGCTCTGGGGGTGGGCTGGATATCATGACCAATATGGCTCCAGTTTTCATAACACCTCCAAGGGTTGTAGTGGTTATGAGACTTCGTTCATGAGGCTGAGGATGCCGGTTCAAGGCCGTGCATGGCCTGATGCCTTAAATGCATGTTGTTCAGTGGCAAGTTGGTCCTCCTTGGAGTAACCAGGTTAAGTAGCGGTGGTGGGGCTGCCTGTTGTCCGAGCGGAGTGTGTTGATTGCCGTGTCCGTGTGTGGTGTTGTGTGTGTGTGGTCACTGTGGTGCGAGTTCAAGGATGCTACAGCTCTGGGGGTGGGCTGGATATCATGACCTGTATGAATCTACTGTCTTCACCCGAATAGAACCCCCGTCATTATAGCCGTATCTGGTTAAGTCTAGGTACAGCGATGATGACCGGGCGTTGTATTCGGATGAAGAGGGTAGTTCTTACAACACCTCCAAGGCTCCAAGGGGGTTGTAGTGGTTACGAGACTTCGTTCATGAGGCTGAGGGTGCCCGTTCAAGGCCGTGTGTGCACAGTGGGGCCTGATGCCCTAAACACACGTTGTTCAGTAACTACATACATTCTCCCGAGTTCTGTCTATAGTAATTCATGAAATCTGCAGAGACATCCATAGAATTCCTCTTTAGTTTTTAGGACGTAATTTTTTGTACAGTCCTAACGGTAGAGAGCAAGTCTTCTAAGCCCACTCAAACTGAGGTTTGACTATCTCTAAATGGTACACATGCAAAACTACGTCAAACGGCAGATCATCGCTAACCACAAAAGAGAGCTTATGTCTAATCTCATCTCCTTCTTTTTTATATAACTTTGTTTACGATGGGCTGCTGAAGGAGCTGTTAAGAGTGGTCTCCTTAAATGGTTCCGGGCGTTGAAGGATCCCTGGTCTGGAAATCGGGTCCAGTGCCCCTGTTGATACATGATCTTTCCCATATCTGCTGGAAAGCAGGTCCAGCATCCCATTGTGGATGCAGAGTGGATGTAGATGGATGTGGATGCAATGTGTATGCAGTGTGTATGCAATGCGTTGATGAGGTGAGGCTGTTCTCGATGTACTTCGAATGATCCTGGAAGTCTAATCTTGTTTGTGTCTGTCTTTATCTCCAATGTGATGGTGAGCACCGCTGGCGATGATTACTCGTCGTCCCCCCTAACCTCATCTCCTCGATAGGGGAAGGTACGAATGACTTCCTTAAGCCACCAGTACATCCGAGCCTCTTTTGTATGAGGTGGATTCCCCTTCGCACCTAGCTTTGCTGAAATGCCAGCGCAGCGTATTTGTTTTAGCTATAGTTGGCCCCACCAGCCATTTGTTCCGGTTGCCCACAGCCTCCATTTTTTTTCGGAGAGAGCCTCTCATTGTTCTCAAACCCTAAACCCCTAAACCCCAAAACCTCTAAACCCTAAACCCCCAAACCCTAAAACCCTTAAACCCTAAGACCCTATAACCTAATCCCTTAAACCCTTAAACCCCTAACCCCTTAAACCCTAACCCCTAACCCCTAAACCTGGTGGTTTAGACCACCAGTACATGGCTGCAGTCTTGCTGAAAAGACATTTGTCGCCCATTCGGAAAAGTGGGGGCCGGGCAGCCGTTGATAAATTCGATCGGCGGCCTTTCTCGCCAGCAAGCTCTGAAAAGGGCCCGCAGCTGATCTATGGCATGTACTGGTAGTTTAATGCAGTCTTCAACTTTTATACTGGTCTGGTAATCAGCTAAAGCAGATGCTGCAAGTCTTCTTTGCGTCTGTGCCTGCACCTGGTCCTGTGGATGTAGTCTTTCTACACACAAGACCCAACTAATGTAACTGCTCGTTGATTCTTGATCAGCTGGTGCGCCTACCTAGTGCCTATCTGAACTTCCTTCTACCACGACCAACTCTCCCTGTGGAACCATTTTCGTTGCTACCTAGGATAGTAACAAATCTTTCTGTGATCCTCCAATTTCTAGCTCCTTAAGGATCCAGTGATGTGTCTATAGCGTAGCATCTCCTAGTCAAACTGTGATTGAGCGGTAGTCTAAACAATCAGTGGCCAAGGCCATTTGGTCACATCATAGTGAGCTGCAACATTGCAGTTGTATTAATGAGTGGAGGTGAAACGTTGGGCCCAATGCTCCAAGTGGTAGTGGAAGTCTACTTCTGGGGACTCCCTCCATGGCTCTTTATAAAGGACTTGAAGTGTCTCAGCCTTGGAATCAGCATGACAAAGGGCCTCAAGGTCAGATGGCTCATCAGATTCAGGCCCCTTAGAGGATCCTTCCTCCTTTTTCTTTATCAAGAGATTTAAGTGTCAGCGTATTCTCATTTGATGTGCTCTCGGCTGTGTAATTCTGCCTTTTTTTTTCCCCCTCCCTTTCCTTTTTTTTGGACCATTTCTCGATTTATGTGTGTCATCCTTGAAAGCGCAGGGGCCATCCTAGTCTTCTCTGTATCGTTCCAATTTTAACGGATGTCGCAAAGGACTAATTAGTAATTCCTCTTTTGACTTTGCTCATAAATGCCTGTTCTGCATTCAGGCTTTTGCAGCTTGGAGCCTTGGAAAATTTGTGTTCCCAACTTCCCATGGATTGGTTCTTTGCAGTTGGGCGCATCGAGACAATAATCAAGAAAAAAAAAAAAAAGCATGCTTTCCATGCCAGACACATTCTGTCCAGTATGAGTCTAAAATTCTACACCGCGAGGTTATGGGTCCTCGGCAGGCCTAAGGGGCCCCCAACAACAAATGTCCCCGCCCTAAGTGAAGGCGGGCCTAACAAATCGCCAGAGGCCCTAAGCTGTCAAATTCATATTTGGGGTCCAGGCAGTTTCGTTGCGCCAGTTGG